AACCATGGAAGGTTAGCAGAGATGGCCCTACTATAACCGGGCATTTAGCTCAGATTACTAGATTGCTGAAGCAGACAGCTATAGATGAAAAGTCTGCCACGGCATACTTTGTTCTCTATTACAGTTTGGATAGTAGTGTAAAAGATGTGTTACAAGATCGTGATCTATCCTTACTTCCCGTTTCGTCGTTGTATGATGACTTGAAAAAGGAATTGCATACTTTGTATTACGATGCTGGTGACAATAGTCGATTGCGTAAGCGGTTGAACACATTAGTTCATCGATCAGATGTCTCTTTACTTAACTTTTTTCAAGAAGTTGAGTCGATCGTATCTAGGTTGAAGCTCCAAGGTAGTGTCGTTACTGATGATGAGTTATATGACTTGTATTGTGCTACCTTAAGGCCCCCTTACAATGATTGGATATTAGCATATAGACTTGATAGCGTCCCTTTCCGGAGGGCTCGCCTTCTGATGTTAAGTCGTTCACGTTCATTGGAGCTTCAATCGTCACCAGTAGTAACCAGTGAGTTTAAGCAATCGTCAACCCCATTGCAAGCAGTTGATGCAATTCCTACTATTGAAGCACAAAGTCAACGCTTCTTTGTCGATTTTGAAAAACTACGCCGTGAGAATAAGTGTCTGAGATGTTGGCAAAGTGGTCACTCTACAGAACAATGCCCGAGTCCGTCTCCTGCTGCTTATGAGAAGAGATGCCTCTGTTGCGGTCGTGGTGGTCATAGACGTGATGCATGCCGTATTCTAACCTCTCAGAGAAGAGTGACCTGTCGAAGGTGTGGTGGTCGGAATCACCTTGCAAGTGCTTGCAGAAATGCGGTCCCAACGACATCATCAACTACGGCACCAGCAGATGCAACAGCTGCTACTACCCAATCCCGAACGACGTCTTCCAATGCTATCCCGTCAGAAGATATGACAGAGGAGATGCAGAATGCTCAAACAGTGAGATCCACGACGCCTTCAAAGGCCTCCATTAATGAGGCAACGTGGGTTTCGATGGCCGTAGACGCCATAGTTGATGAGACCTGTTTCCCAGCATGTTCTGCATCCTTCCAAGGCCCTATTACTACTAAAGTTGATGATCAGTCCACTAAGGCTGCTCCACTGATGTCCACTATCTCTATATGCTCTGATGTGTCAGAGGAGAAATATGATTGTAGAGCGCTCCTAGATACAGGAGCAGTAAGATGCTTCATCAAGAAGTCTTTCTTAGAGACTCTACCTCCTGGCTATGTAAAAGCTCGGAAATGTGTTAACTACTCTGTTACGGTGGCTGATAATAGGAGTTTCTCTAGCAATGAGAGCGTTCTTTTAACTATTGGTACACCTCATAAGACCGTTTCCACCTGGTGTATCGTGTATTCCTCGCTCGCTTTCCCACTAATCCTTGGCCTATCATGTATGCGTGATTTGAACCTCCTACTTTATTTGTCCAACGATCAAATGTTGTTACGAGCTGACACTTCAGAGTCAGATGTCCGTTCTATAGCTGCCAATAGAAGAAGAGATGCATCAAAAGAAGAGAAGGAGCCTAATCATGTGCCCCCGGATACTGACTCTTCAGCTCGCTATTCGAATCGTTCAGTGTTACCAATTGATGGTCGTTTAGCCAAGGATGGGGATAGAGATGAGGATTCGCATTTAGCATTTTTGATGGTTGATTCTGAAGAGCCTTGGGAAGTAGATGCGTCGGATCCTTGGAATATTGAAAACCCCACAAAGATTGATAAGTCTTTTGTAGAGTCTCTTCCGACCGTAGAATCAGTTGAATCGAGTGTCTCTAATTATAATGTTACGGCTTATAAAGGTCTCACTTCTGATACTCATATTGATGAGCATGATAATGTTATTGATGTCGAGAGATTCACGTATGGGGTTCCATGGGTTTCCGAAAAGCGTCCTCCCAAACCATCGATTAATGATATTGATAAAGTAATCTCTAGTGATAATCGTCTTGCTAAAAGACTATATGATTCTGGTTTATTTGATAAGTATTCCCAAGTATTTGATGAGTATATTCGACGTAATATTTTGATTAAGGTCGATCCGAATGATTATCATAAAGTTTTCGGTATTATCCCTCACTACCCGGTACTAAGTACGACTAGTACCAGCACTCCTGTGAGGCCAGTCCTTAGGGGATCTCAGTATAGACTGTCTATACTATAATAGACATAATGTGAGCCAATAATATGTCTATAATAGACATATTATTGGCTCTGGACTAGGAGCTGTTAAGTCACCTCAGGATGCCATACTTCGTAGCACTATCCCATCTATTCTTACGTTTAGAGCATTCTCCCACGTTGCAGTGCTAGATTTGGAGAAAGCTTTTTATATGCTCCGTAACAGCAGTGATGTAGCCTTTATGTTCTGCTTGCCCTGGAAAGGAGCACTTTATCGTATGACAGCTCCTCCAATGGGCGCTCCACATTCAGCTGCCGCTCTTTTACATGCGATGCAATTGATGTGTAATGAAGCTAATCAGTTGTTCAAATCTCGGCATCCTGAGCTTCTTGATGGTGAGTATCATGTCGCATTTTCCCCTTATATGGACGACCTCATAGTAGGAGCTGCTTCTCAATCTTTGTTAGACGAGGCTATTGCTTGCCTCTTGTCGGTGTGTAAGTCTCATGGATTCAATTGTCAGGAGAGCAAGAGAGTTGTTCGCCCTCCGACATTGAAGCCTCGTAAAGTCCTTGGTCTACTTTGGCATCCTAATGATACGGTGGGTAATCAAGAAGGCCCTCTACTACCACCTATTTTGCATAGTGAGAAGAGTGATAAGTCTATAGTGTCCCTCACTCAAAGGGATGTGATGAGTTGGATAGCCAGATTCTATGACCCTTGTGGTGTCTCAAGCCACATTATCTTAGCGATGCGTATGTGTTTGAGAAGAGAAGCTGATGATAATGCTGATGTTGATGCTTTTATTTCCACTACTACATTCAAGACTTTACTAGAATTGATGGAGTCATTTCGTAGATCTCCCCCAATTCCTAGATATCTTTCTTTTCTGTCGGACGGAATAATGTATTGCTTCGCGGATTCAAGTGTTTATGCTACGGCTAATGTTATCACGGATACAGTGCTGAATCCTATTTTTTGCCATTCACGCCTCATTGATCGTGGTCGTATGTGTTGGACGATAGTCCGTAAAGAGCTACTTGCTTGTGTGCAAGTACTGCACAGTTTCAAGGATGTGATTAAGGCTCTTACTAGTATCCTTCCCAATATCAGAGTTCGTCCTCTATTATTTACTGATAATGAGGCTAACTATCACCGTATACGTAAAACTTTAGGTATTTTTCCTAATGTTGAGCCACTATTGAAAGATATGCCTAAGTGGGAAGTTGATAATCTTAGAACTATTGCTGATATATTACTTCAGAATGGTGGTTCAGTATATCACATTCCCGGTAGTATGAATGTGAGTGATATATTTTCGAGAGGTTCATCGCTATATCCACCTTTTCTCGATCATTCCGTATTGGAGTCTATTAATTCTGCCCGCCGCCGGAATGATGATGGTATTGTATCTTCCGTCCCTCCAGTTGTTAGTGAACGTAATGGAGATTATTTTCTCGTTATAGATGATGCTATTGATGATGATCTTAGGAGTAAAAATTTTACTGTAAAATCCTGAGAGAGCAGCGTGTAGATCCCATTCTTAAACCTTTC